AAGCAGGAGTACCGCGGTTAGACGATTCCGCATCCCTGATAAGTTTATTCGTCGCCCGCCGTTCTCGTCGAGCCCTTGCCTGCTCGCTAAGCTCCTGAATGTCCTCACCCTCTTCAAGCGCCTACGAAAACATGAGCACCGCACCGCACCACAAACCGAGCGAGAACAACGACATACCATCGCCCACGCCTCGTCACTAAGCCCATCATTATAGCTGACAACGTTCCGCCTGCGCTGCCCACGGCCTTCAAGCACCTCGTCCATCTCCTTCACCTCGAACGGCTCATCGGTCTGATAACATTCCGGGAGCTCCTCGATCTGGATGAGCGGTGGAGGAGGCTTCCCACGCCCACCGCTGTTGTGCCAGCTCTCCAACATGCTCCGCTCGCGCTTGAGATCCAGCTCCCGGAAGAGCGCAGCCTCCTCTTCGCTGCGCGCGATGAGCTCGTTGAGCTCGTCGTCGTTCATATCGCCCGCCTCTTCGTTTTCCTCTTCTTGGTCAGCTTCTAGGATCGAGCGCTACGCAGCGGGGAGAAAACCCATTCAGACATGCATGGGAAATAAGGAGGGAATGGGGCCTACTCACCAGGAACTCTTCTTGTTCTTCTTGGGTAGACTTGTTATCGAAACGACCGGCCTGGATGACTTTGTCGTCAATGTCGAGCTTGTATCTGGCGCGTTGGTACATCGCCTCTTCCACGCTCTTCTCGGTGATGAACCGCAGGATGAGCACGGCCTTGGTTTGGCCGATACGATGCGCACGATCTTGGGCTTGGAGATCAGCGTGGGGGTTCCTATACGACAATGCCGATATTATGTTATTTAGTCAATGTGCCCCACTAATTGTCTCATGCGAATGCGGAACTCACCAGTCACTGTCGAAGCTATGAAACGGGAAAAAAAAGGAAAGCTCAGCGGTGCGGTGCGGCAAGATTACACAAGGGAAGATATGGCGTACATGATGACCGTATCAGCAGTCTGCAAGTTCAACCCCAACCCACCAGCCCTCGTCGACAGAATGAACACCTTGTACTCCGAATCCTTCGCATTGAAAAGCTGCACAAACGACGCACGCTCCTCCGTCTTCGTCCCACCATCCAGACGGAGGTACGCCCACTTCTGCATCTTCAAAAAGTCCTCCATGATATCCATGACTTTGGTCATCTGGAAGAAGATGAGGACCTAGGTAGGAGGAGGAGAACGGAAAACGTCAGTCAACATTCAACTACACAGTCAGTGAATGCAAGGGGAACGCACTCTGTGTCCCGTAGCGAAGAACTTGGGCAAGATGCGGTTCAGGAGCTCGAGTTTCCCGGACGTGCGAATGAGCTTCTCGTCGATGAACCCGCTGGGGCTGACTTTATCCTCGACGCTCTCAAACAAGAACGGGTGCTGGCAGATCTTCCTCAGCTGCATGAGCTCGTTGCTCAGCCCCTTGATCCCCGACGGTTTCCTACACACGCCAGTCAGCAAAACGCATCAAAGAAGAAGAACGAGACGGAGAACGGCACGCATGAGCATGCAACGCCGGACTCGGACTCGGACTCGGACTCACCCCTTGCTCGTCCCATCCGCAATCATCTTATGCTTCTTCATCTGCTTATACAACTGGCTCTGCAGCGCGCTCATCCGGACCTTGATAACCTTCTCGACCTTATCCGGCAACTCGCTCTCCACGTCCTTCTTCAAGCGCCTAAGCAAGAACGGGCGGAGCACCTTATGCAAGCGCCGAATAATCAGGAGCGCCTCTTCTTCGTTCAGCTCGATCTTGTCGCCCGTGCCCGAGTTGGCGAACGGCGTGTTGAACCACTCGTCGAAGGACTTGACCGAGTTGAACACTTTCGGGAGCGCGAAGTTCAGCAGGGCCCAGAGCTCGGGGAGGTTGTTCTGCAGCGGCGTGCCCGTGAGGATGAGCCGGTAGCGCGAGTGGTAGTACGTCGTGAGCGTCTGGGAGAGTTTACTCTGCGTGTTTTTCATACGGTGGCCCTCATCTATGATGCCACAAAAGTAAATATCGAGAAGTTGAGCGCATACAAGAAGCACGACTCACCGATGATCATGTGGATCCACTTGAGCTTGCTGAGGATCGGGCGGTCCTTGATGATGTACTCATAAGTCGTCAATAGCACCTGGAAATGGCCCACGCGGAGGTCGCTTTGGAGCGCGCGGCGCTGCGCGGGGTTGCCCTTGTAGGAAATCGTCTTCACCGCCGGGGCCCACTTTGCGAACTCGCCCGACCAGTTGGTCATGGTCGACAGCGGCACGATGACGAGATACGGCCCGTGCTGGCGCTTGACTTCGATGAGGAACGTGATGAGGGAAATGGTCTGGATGGTTTTTCCGAGACCCTGTATGAACGTTAGTTAGACGTTTGACCGATGTTGGGAACAAAACGCACCATCTCGTCTGCCAAGATACCGTTGAGACGGTTGTTGTACAAGCTGACCATCCACTGCAAGCCCTTGAGCTGATACTCTTTCAACGTGCCACCAACAAGCAACGACGGCTGCTTGGAGACCTTTTCCGAGATGCGATGCGCAATGGCATAATAATCCACCTTCCTCTTATCCTCCACCGCCTCCTCATCGCGCATGACCTGCGCCCCAAACGTCGCCTCGGTCGTCGGCTCCGCCTCCTGCTCGATATACATCTCCAGCCCACTATCATTCTGCTGCGACACGACCGCCTGCGCGAGCGAATCGAGATACGCATCCGTCTGCCTGAGGAGGTGCGTGATGCGCGTATCCTTCGCGGTATCAATAAGCTTCATATACGCCTCCTCATCGTCCGCCTTGAGCGCGCGCAGACGCTCCTTCGAAATGCGCTCAATGCGCTTCTGCTCCTCCTTCTCCGTGTTCTGGTGGAACCCGAGCACCGCGCGGCCGAGGCGCGCGACGCGGTCCTGCGCGGCGCGGTTGGCGCCGAGGACGTCGCGCCCGTGCGCGCAGATGACGTTGATCTGCTCGACGTGCTTGCGCTTCGCGCGGTGCTCGCGCTCGACGCGCTGCTTGCGCTCCGCCTGCTCCGTCTTGCGCGCGTCGCGGATCGTGGGCTTGCGGATGCGGCGGAAGTCGATGCGGTTTAAGGGGAGCATGGCGCTGTGGTTGAGGCGCTCGGCGACCTGGGCGCGCATGAAGCGCTGCTTGTCGATGAGGCGGAGGGACTTGAGCTCGATTACGGCGCGGAGCTTGCCGTGGGAGGTGGTGCTGGGGTGGATGAGGGCGGAGAGGTGGGTGGGGGCGGAGGAGGGGGCGTTGTGGTCTTTGAGCTTAAGCACGGCGTCGTCTTTTTCTTCCTTCATGCTTTCGTCGGGGTCGAAGCCGTCGTCGAAGGAGCCGTCGCCCATGGTTGAGGGGAGGGTTTCGAGCTCGCGGATGCGCTGGTGGATACGTGCTTCGATGTAGCGATCTCTTTCATTAAGAATCTGGTGGGCATCGAGGCCAGCGGGCATGATTGTGGGGACGAGCAGCCGCTGCATGCGTGTGGCGAAAAGCACTGGGTCTGTGTCTGTCGAGCGTTTGAGGTGGGTAAAGGGATGGCGATAAGCGTTGTAGGGGTATATTCCAGATTTAGTGTCGTCTTCGAGGAAAGGGCCTTTGGGCATGTCGGCCGCGTTATAAGCGACAGCCAAGTCTTCTTCTACTTTGGTTGTGTCTTCGGGGATAAGAGCTGCTGCTGCTGCTGCTGTTGGGGTTGGTTCGCCTTTTGCGACATTGACGGCAGCAGTGACGATTCGAGAGGGCACGTCTGGGCCTTGAAGGAGTTTTTCTAGATCAGCAACGGCTGTGTTTGGGACGCGGATAGCTTGCTGGATGTTTTCGGGGACAGCCATGCCGCGTTGTATGAGTTTGAATGCATGGATCTGCGCACGCAGAGCATTGATTTGTTCGGGTGTGAATGAGACGGGTGTCTGTGACTGAGGTGGGACGGATTGTGGCACAGGGCCAGACGTAATAGACGTTACACTTGTCCCATTCGTAGCATGCCCATTCACTGCAGGTCGGCCTTGAACTGGCACAACATCAGCCTAGTGATTAATGGCAACAAATTGGACGCCAACCTTGGGATACAGCATGTATGTATCTGAGAAGCTGGTCTAGCTCGCCATGGTGCTTTTGTTCATGGGGATTCTTCTTGAGAAAGTTTGCTCGCTGTGGGATGTGAGCAGGAGGGATGAATGGTGGATAGAGACATACCTGGACCATCTGTTGTATTTGATGTTGAGGGACATTGTGTGGGCCTGGTGCGGACATGCTGCTAATCAGTCGCGTCCCCTCCAGAACACCAAATTCCAAAATGTCACGCGCTGGATGAGCAAAAGACAACACACACTCAATCCGTCACACTCGGTCACACTCTAGGAAACTTCGTGGGAATATCCCCACGCCTAGCACTGCATCCCATATTGACTCCAAGTATCCTACAAATCTAACTACGCTACGCACTTTTCGTCTGCATCGCATACGCATATGGATACTTTAAGAATAAAAACACACTTATGATCATGCGATCTCATGATGAGAGGGAGATTCGAACTCCCGCCCCCGAAGAGACCAGATAAGTACTTCTTAGAGGCATTCTACCTTAGTCTGGCGCCTTGGACCGCTCGGCCATCTCACCATGAGCATACGTTATAGAGGCAGATCTAGAATCCTGAGATAAATCATCCAGGATGCGCGAGGTAGACACCTTGATGAACGAGCCATCATCGCAACAACAAAGGTGTGGCATAGAACGAGATCCAGGATTCGAGCGTAAAGCGCTCAGGATCCAAACGTTCTGTGGTGGAAGCCCGACTTGAGCAGGACGCCACTGCGGTAAGGCAGCAGGGGCCGGACACGTTACACGATAGACACCAACCCCCGGCTCTCGAGACCCGCGCGCCTTGCCCTGTAAACTGAATACATACATACATGCCCACAATACAGCGAAGAAAACTCACATCACAGATCACGATACACAGCGCCTTGCAGCAAAAGAATGGCATTGGGTCCATTGTATGATGAGAGGGAGATTCGAACTCCCGCCCCCGAAGAGACCAGATAAGTACTGGTGCGAATCATTTACCACCTTAGTCTGGCGCCTTGGACCGCTCGGCCATCTCACCATGAGCGTACGCTTTAGAGGGAGACCTACGATCCCGAGGGTAGAGCATCCAAGACGCGCCGCGCCATGTTAGCGAGACGTCACGGTGCCTCGGACCGCCGCCGCGTGACGTCAGACCATCTATCATGAATCATGATATCGAGGCCCGGTGTGGCGTACCAGGATTCCAGGGTAATGCGCTCAGGCCCCGCCAGGCTCGAACGAGATAGCATCGCAACTGAGGAGACGGGAATATCGAGACCTGCGCACCAAGTTGAACGCCACGTTTTTTTTCTCCAGAGCAGCCGAGCCAGTCCCTTAGTAGATTGAATTTCAAACTCGAACTAGGTATCTTATGAACATATATACAGGCAGGATGCAAAGCAAAGCAAATACATGATACAACACAGCGACAGCGCCTTGCAGCAAAAAGACCAATGTGCAAATTACATGATGAGAGGGAGATTCGAACTCCCGCCCCCGAAGAGACCAGATAACGTCAAAGAAAGAATTTCATAACCTTAGTCTGGCGCCTTGGACCGCTCGGCCATCTCACCATGAGCATAAGCCGTAGAGGGAGGCCTACGATCCCGAGGGTAGAGCATCCAAGACGCGCTACGTTAGCGAGAGACGTCACGGTGCCTTGGACCGCGTGACGTCAGGCCATCTATCATGAAGGCGTGGCGCAGAAAGGATCAGGGATTCCAGCGTAAAGCACATAAGAATCAGGAAAGTGTACAGTGTATGTACATTGTATTGGATGCCAGGCTTGAGGACGACCTTGCGATCCGAACACGATATGGTCCCTTCGCCAGATGAGCCGTCCCCTATCTATAGTCTGTATGTATGGGTGCACTGGCCATGGCAGGCATGAAGCAAAGAAAACGCACTGGACGGTACACATCGCCTTGCTAACAAAAACTCGACTTGATAAAGTCAGCATGATGAGAGGGAGATTCGAACTCCCGCCCCCGAAGAGACCAGATATGGTTGACACGACATAGACATCTAACCTTAGTCTGGCGCCTTGGACCGCTCGGCCATCTCACCATTAGCATGCGGTGTAGAGGAAGATCTAGAATCCAGAGGGTAGAGCACCTTTAGCGAGCGAGGTGTCATGGTGCCTTGAACCTGCGTGACGTCAGACCATCTTATCATGAGAGTGGTGCAGAAAACGATCCAGGGTCCGGGGCCCAGGTTAAAACGCGTAGGGCATTCTGTGCTGCATGTCATGCTTGAGCGGGATGGCGGGAAGACGGCAAGCTTGAGACTTGAGCGCCTTGGACACCGCGTTTTCTCCAGATGGATGAGTCCATCTAAGACGTTCCCTATAAACTCTGTGAATGCACAGAGGCATGTAGCACAGACAACGACGACCCAGTGAGCGATAGATGTCGCCTTGCTTACAAAAAGCATTGGAAGTCGCATGATGAGAGGGAGATTCGAACTCCCGCCCCCGAAGAGACCAGATTGAGAACGCAGGACAACAACCCACCCACCTTAGTCTGGCGCCTTGGACCGCTCGGCCATCTCACCATGAGGGCTGGTATATTGGAGCTGCGGATTCTGGGACTGAATCCCGGGTTTAGCAAGACATGGTGTTGATAGAACGAGCCGCCTGACCAAGGCAGGACTCGTATGTCATTCGCCATTCTTGTGATTTGGACACACTCTGGGTCGCACGATTCTGATTTGGAGGTTGGAGAAAAGTTATGACCCATCGAGGAAGTAAACTAACTCACTTCGTCATACTGCTAAACCAGTTGAACCGCATCAGCATGCACTCCCTGGCACAGAGGATCATCGCAGGGAGATTGCGGCGAACACACCGGTTTTGCTGAGGTGCTTCTCACAATAGAGGCCCCGCTCTCCACTCGGATGCCTGAGCGTCAATCGGAGACAAATATTATCGCCCAGCGTTCGTTAAAATCTGTACATCTAGAACAGTGGGTAAGTTGGTATCTAGGGAGGCTTAATGTGTGCATAAAGACTCACGACGGCATCCTGCGATAAAAGGAACAACTACTGACATGATTGACAAAATGAAAGTTTGAATTCCTGTCCCCGGAGAGACCACAAAGAATGAACACCGGTGCGCACATATATCAGCGACAGAAACTTTCAGATAGATAGCTCGGCCGTCTGATGATGAAGGGCATCGGAGAGGGCAGCTAGCAAGACAGAGATCGAAGACCCAGACTTGAATTGAGTAACTTCGAATTACGAAACACTGTGGCAGCAAACGCTGAGACGAAGACAGCGCAAAAGACCTGCATCTGCACTGGTTACTTCAGTGAGATATCAGACGCTCTTGTTTCGCAGGATTGAGGCCTGGGCTCTTGATTCTGTAAAGATGGACTTGAGATGAGGGGCCAATATTGAAGGCATAGAGACGATGTGCAACATACCTCCACCATGATGGAAAGTGACCGCGGTTATGCGCGACAATGGGTATGAGAAGCACTTCCCGCTCCTGCGCTGTTGTATATCGCGCGATTTCCTTCATCGATGACAACTGCTGAGGGAACAACAACAACTGTGACTTTGCAGTACGTATGGGGGTGCTAAACACGTGATGTGAACCTCACTCACAAGCGCTCTGACTCTCGAGTCTTGACGCGGACGGCGACGCATCACTATCTTCCTTCAGCTTCAATATTCATTCAATAATTTAATCCTAGTGGTTTCCAACTTCACGCTCAGACGTCAAGCTAGTTGTTGCAACGTGGGTCCCTGAAACCGAAACCAATATAAGCATACTCTTTTTCTGCTGTTGAATCCTGATACAAGTTGGATATACTACCGAATAGCAAGCCCCATAACAAGCGAAAGAGGTCTTCTATGGACCATACGGACTCTTTAGGATCTCACAGGCGACATAAACCTAGTATTCCTTGACTTCTTGTTTTTGTAAATATCATATTTCTGAAATGGTAATGGGTTCGAACTGAATTGGTCGTGTAATCATTTCATCCTCTAATCCATGCAATGACTTCATCAGCCCATTCTTCACCTTGCCCGGATCCGACTGCGAAATTAGGGCTGATATGGTTATGGCCTCTCGCAATGAACTTGTCGATTTTCTTTCCCGTCCTCTTCTCGAGAAGCTCATGGAACACATCTGCACCCTCCAACATCCACTCGGGTTCCCATTCCGCCAGGACAATCAGGGTACGAGGCAACGCCGCGATGGTGGCTTCAGATGCCTTTTTCAGCATCCCTGTTGGCATCCTCTCTTCCACAAATTCTGCACGACCCCCGTAGTACTGAACGGCAATTTCGTGGAAAGGGTTGGTAGGATCATCCAAGTTGCAAGATGCGCCGTGGAATATCGCACCAGCTATGCTAGGCCGTACTACTGCAGTCTCGGGCGTCTCAGGAATCAGGAGAGAAGAGTAGATGTGGATAGCACCGGCAGAGTGCCCCATCAAAAACATATTGTTGACGTCAGGCCTTGGGGTCGTAGGGGTGAGGAGTTGATCCACATTCTTGATGGTCCAGAGCATTGCATTACGAACGTCCTCAGCAGCCCCAGGAAATATCGTAGCTGGAGCCAAACGGTAGTCTGGGATGACAACAATGAATCCTCGGCGGGCAAAGAAAGACCCCATGGCAGTATATCCCATGTCGTTCGGTGGCGGAAGTTGCCTGTCTCCGGTCACGAAGCCGCCGCCATACACCCATACCAAAATAGATGTCTTTCCACTCTCCGAGGGCGTGAGGGGATAGTATACATCGAGCTATAAGGACATCTGGTTGGCCGCTACAAATTTAAGAAGAAGAGGCATACCTTGTGTCGGTCAGTTGAACCGTATTGAAATGTCTTTCGTGGAATCTCCTCAATCTTTGCACGGTTGACCTCCAGTAATGGAATGAATGCTCGCAGCGCTACGAAACATCAGGCCATATCCATTCTAACACATATGACTCACTAGGTTCAATGGCATCCGATATTGCAGTAGACTTGAGCTGAGCGATCGTCTCCATGGCGAGAAGCGTTGAATGTTGGTATGGGCATCATCATAAGTTTATAAGTATGACGATTTGTAATAGGTGAGAACAAGGAACAGTAAGCCGCTACGCGCCATCCCCCGGCCATCATTTCGGTGAGAGAATTATTAATGCGATTACTTAGTGAGAGAGCCACATTCGAGGGTTAACCAGAGATGGTGAAAGATTCACAGCCAGGTAGTAATAGTCATAAACTAGGGCGTTCACTGACGCACTCAACAAGGCCGCTAGCAGAGAATCGGTAGCAAACGTTGTTCAATGCAGTATGAAGGAGCCGCCGCTCGAACAAGTACTAGTCTTGTGCAGGATGAAATTCGACTTTGACTGACGAGAAGATCGATAAGGGATAGTGGCTCGCTGTGTCAACACATCGAATATATCTTCATTGTGTTCAAGGGCTTGCCTTCACTGTCCAGAGAACTGTGGAGACCGTAAGTCGACTTCATGGACGACACTTCCTCTGGTGTTCGGGTAACTCTATTTGCACGAGCCTGAAGATACGATGAGAAGCAAAGGAGGATCCGAGAACATAGGGCCGCATTTCTTGACTGAGTGCTCCAGCAAGCCTTCTAGGACTTAAAGCTGGTCCGTTGAAAGTAGATTGAGGACTTGGAAACAACCATCAACAAACACGTGAAGACAAACTGGCTGCCAGTGGCTGGGTCTTGACATCAACATGGGTTGCCCGCATAAAATATTCTGTTCTGCGTCTTCCTTTTTCGAACAATTCCTCCAGCACGGCAAACGCAACCTCGGAGATTCAAAATTTCTTGACAATGTCAAAACTTGTCTTGCGAGTCAGGCTCCTGATACATTGTCAAACCAAAAGAAGTCGACGCTAGCCTGGCCCATTCTGGACGAGGAGGGAAAAATGGCTTCTGCTCAATAGTGCAACCAAAGACGACGAATACGAAAATATTGGCGAAATTGCGAGGGCGATCTGTGAAGCTGCGCGAGCAATTGATACAACGCTTGACGTTTTCGAGGACACAACGCCCACTAATATCTCAGACATCGAAGGACACCAACAGAGAACCAACTTTAGGGCGTTTCCTAAGCATTCCAATTTGGCTTGTTTCCTTGGCGGGGCCGAAACCGATGAAAA